CTGGCTGCAAGGTCGGATTCTGTTCTCAGGCTGGATCCGCTCCTTAAGCCCTTGTGCTGATCCTCTGAGGCAGTTGCCGGCAGGCCCAGCTCTGGATTACCCCCCCGGATCACTGGCGGGGTGGAGCCTAGAAGAAGCCTCTTCCGGCTTACTGGAGCCTTCTGAGCACTTTGGGCCTCCGTAGGGAAGCTCTGATCACGTGCTCGACCACGTGGTCTTTTCAAAATGGCGACCGGACCGATCCTCCTGCTGCTGGAGATCGTAGGGGGAAGCTCCTGGAAGTCCCCGAGCCTCGCAGGTCCTCTTCTGCCTCCCACAGGCCTGGGCTTCGCCTGGATCGATCGTGCCAGGCAGAGGCTTCTTTGCCCTCTCTTACGCAACCAGCCGGTCGTACGGGGCACGCGCACACACGCTGGTTTGCAACGAGGCTTTTCCAGCGGCGCAGAGCACAGCGGAGGAGAGGTGAGGAGAAAGGCAAGGTCTTTGTCGGAATCCTTTGTAGCTAGAGATCGCTGATCCAAATATGAGGGGAAAAAACTCTAAGTCTTCGCAGAGAAGGGAGAGAAGGAAAAACACTCCTTTTCAGGCTTCAGACTGAGGTAAACTGGGGAGTTGGAGGAGGTACGGAGGTGTGGCTCCAAAAGATTAATACCTCAGTCTCCAATAGGCAAGAAGGCTTTGGTAATACCACGTGTTACTCCTCCCACGCCTTCTCTTCGGAAACCATCTAAGAAACTTCTGGCCCCAAGAGTCTCTTTTTGAGAGCCACAAATAGCACAAAAGATTTTTAAAAAATTATATAGAATCATGTGAAAATTAAATATATTGACAGATGATCTGTTGTATTTAATTCATATTAAACACATATGTTGTATTTAATACATATTCTGATATTTTATGGAAATGTTTTTCAATACTTTTGTATTGAATTTATATTATATTTAAATATGGTTGTATGAATCAACCATATTTAAATATAATATACAGAACATTATGACCTTATTAATAAACAATTATACACTTCATATTTGATATTTCCAGAGTAAGAAGTATCTTTCAATCAAAAAAGAATGCTAAGCAAATATGTTCATTTTTGTTTAAAGTCTTTTTCTTTTTTCTTTATCATTCTCAATTTCTCTTAGTATAATTTTCCAGAAATGTTATTCCTCTACTTTTCTATGCATGTATTAATGAATCCTTAAATTTAAGTGGAAACATTTATAGGATCTCTCAGTACATTACTTTTAAATGGGGAAAAGTTCATCTTTATTCATTGAACTTACATGCATAAACTTCTTGGTTTTGATATTGAGAACTGTGAGGCTCATCATTACAACAGAATAATGATGACAGCCTTTCTTTTGTTTGGAGACTGTGTGAAGTATCAGGCATGAAAATTAATCTTCAGGTAGTTAGTCCTGCTTTCAAAAGAAAATCCTGATATTGTGAGTCATGCTAAACCTTTCTGTAACTTATTGTTTAAGTAAGATTTGAGACTTTCGGTATTAGTGTGACTAATGTCTGGTGCTGAAAAGTTTGGGACCCAGAGGTAAGCGTGGGAAGTTATATGCAGGAGCTCTAGCAAGTACTTAAGAGGAGATGGGAATAGAATTTAAAAGCATAATGGATTTCAGAATACAGTTACGATTTCAAGAAGAATTTTGAAAACCATAAGATAACCAGGAACTGTTAAGGGCACACAGATAGTCATATCAAAAGATTAATTTGACAAGTGTGAAAAGATTAATTTGAGAGGTGGAAAAGGAAGGCTTCAAACATTTTCATACTGCTTTGATAACCAAAGATTCTTTCATCCTAACAACAACAACAATAATGTGAGTTGGTAGATTTGTATCATTAGACCTTCCCCACTGTTCCACATTACCTAACAAGGTCAAAATTAGGTAAGTAGATTTCCTGCGGAAAATGAGTATTCCATCTTACAACATCTAGGAATGAATTCTGCCCTTCATATATATTTAAGGTGACCAGATTTTCAGATTGGTAAAGAGGGACACCNCCGAAGGAAATTCGTGTCCGAGTCTTCTTTCCTCATTGGCTTCATGAACCACCCGCGGAGAAATCGCATCTTATAACATAATTTACAGAATACAGAATAACACAGCTAGAAGGAACCTTGGAGGTGTTCTAGTCCACACACACCCTTCGAGCATGAGACCCTATACCTGTGATGGTGAAGATATGGCATGAGTACCAGAGGTGGCATGCAGAGCCTTCTCTGTAGGCGTGTGTGCCATCGCCAGCTGGTCTTTGCCGAAGCACTGAAAAACAGCCCCCCAAACGGCCAAAAACCAGGCATGTGTGCACCGGCCATCTGGTCTTCGGGTTTCCAGTGCTCTGGCACGCATGAAGACCAGCTGCGTGCCGGAAACTCAAAGACCAGCTGGCCAGCGCACACATGTGCACCGGCCAACTGGTGTTTGGGTTTCCAGCATGCATGCACATGCGTTCCGGTTTGGGCACTCAGTGCCAAAAAGGTTCATCATCACTGCCCTATACCATTCTGGACAAATGACTGTCCAATCTTAAAAACCTCCAGTGGCAGAGCACCCGTAACTTCCGGAGGCAAACTGTTCCAAGGACTAATTGTTTTCACTGTCAGGAAATTTCTCCTTAATTCTAGGTCTCTCTTTGATAGGTTTCCACCTATCAAATGTTATTTCATGTCCTGTCCTTAAATGCTTTGCTTATCATAGTCAAAAATATGTTCAGGTACAGCCTGTAAAATGCATGTTGTATCTGTGATATGCTGTATTCACGCTGATGGGCTATCTCTGGCAACTTTGACTGAAGGTTCCTGATTTAATATTACATCATATTTGGGTAAATAATTAGATGAATTAAATAATTTGCCATAGCTAACTAGTTATCATGATCAAATAATTCCGTATAAGAATCCTCTCAAGGCAAGGAAGAATGAGATATTCACCTACCTATTACTTCAAAGGTTAGCTTTGTAGAATCCCATTGTGTTTGCTCTTTAGAAAGAAGCTGAAAGCGAATAGGGTTTTGGGGAGTAATTGCTGGTGCAGGAAGATACCATGTTTTCCTGTTAAAAAAGGGATTTTTATAAAAGTTATCAATGTAATTAACTGTAAAAGTCCTTTAAAATATTTCAAATTACTGTTAATTCTGTTCCACAAAGTATAATATGGCTAAGTATATTAAAACCTAAAATGCTACTGAAAATGCAAAATGTGACAGCCTTACATGCAAAAGAAATCAAAATGATTAGCCTTTTTCATCTTAACATAAAAATAAAAGGATAAATCTGTCAAAGTAGTGTTTGTCAGAATATTTTCATTTTTAAAAAGCCCACCCTTGTTTATCAGTTCCCCAGGAAATAACGATAAAAGGCTCAAAGTTTTGCTCAAAGCTGAAAACTTTCGCAAAGCGGAATGACAAGAGACGTGAATAACTCTGATGGTATTACTGACAGATGCGGCCAAGCTTATTCAGAAAACATTAACACTTTTTAAACATAAATAGAAAAGGGTGCTTCATGGTATACCCAGAACATTCTTTTTTTTCTTCTTTTGTGCTTTCATGTCAATGTTGATTCCTGTGACTGCTTTGTTTCTTGGCCCAATTTCATGCTGAAGATCCCTTTTGCCTTTCAAGATTAAAGGGATTAAAACAGAAAACGGTTCCTGTCCTCTGCAGGAAGTTTTAGGAAACCCATCAGTCCAGCAAATGGTACAGGAAAAAAGAAAAATGTCACTTCTTCTCCCACTTTTCAAACCCTAAACTGCATTTTCAGACTCTTTCCAGTCTGACTGCGGCTTTGATATGGGCATTGCCCTGTTTTGTAATTGGTTTCCTTCTGGTAGGATTCGCTTAAAATGCAACAGATTTACTGATTCACTTGAAGATACTCTTTTTCAAAAATATTACATCAATGGCTATTTCTGTTAAAACTAAGTAGTTCATTAAGTGTGATCACAACCAACCGAAAAAAGTAGTTCACGGGTAGAATCCAAGGAAATCCACAGAGAGGGGATCCTTCCTCACATGTGGCTGCAATAGAGTCGTTGAGCTCAGGCAGGTGGGGTGTAATGAGCGATATCCCACTGTAGTCCATCCCATTCATCCATATTCCAGAATCACTTTTTTCCAAGTGACCATCTAGGCTATGAAATCTTCTGTTTAAATGCTGGAAAAATGACAAGACAAGAAGTTGCTAAGACTTTGCCACCAGTCTGTGAGGCTTGTAAGCCGCCCTGAGTCCCCTCAGGGAGAAGGGCGGCCTATAAATCTTAATAAAATGTCTAAAATGTCTAAAAAGATACAAAATAACTCACTGGGGCAAAGGATGTCCTTTCTTTACAAACGCCTAGGTGACTTCTCAAATATGCAATATGAGAGTTAAATCTGACTGTGCTTGTTGCAGTAGACATTTTTCTTTCTATATTTTTGGAAACCCACAAAGCTGATTGCATGATAGTCAACAGCAGGGGTGTAAAACTCGATTTCACTGAGGGTTGCATCAGGGTTTTGTTTGACCTCAGTGAGCCAGAGTGGGCGTGGCCAGCTCAACATCACTCCTGTTGGGGGCACCTGTAATGGCCCGAGCACTCTGCCAGCAAAAACGGGGTCCCGAGCTCAGTTTTCACTGGCAGTGCATTGCAGGAGGCTGTGGCAGCTCAAGAGCTCGTTTTCGCTGGCAATAGCACCAAAGGCTGGTCCTTTGCTGTTCCAGAGCAGCCCCGCGGGCCAGATCTAAGTACCCTGCAGGCTAGATCCGGTTCCTGGGCCTTGAGTTTAACACTCCTGGTCAACAGCATACAAATCATGACTGTTGCAAGTCATAAAAAAAGAATTATGATCACAGCTTGGACTGAAGAAGCTGATAATATTACGAAAGCAAGGAAAGGTCAGAGAGGAAGTTACTGAGTGAGCAAGTAGGGTGATTATCAGTTTAACCAAGTTATAAGCAGTAATAGCACACTCTGGATACCAGCATGCCCACTCAAAGTTCAAATATACTTTTTCAGAAATGGCTGCTGCTCAGAATTGCCTTAAATCACAAGATGAGTGACAAATAAACATGATAACCTGGTTATGTGACAAACCATAATAATCAAAATTATCCACTGTGATTTACCTGCCACAGTGAAGCCAGCTGACATGGCAAATCAAGCAAGTAACATAAATCACTACAAAAATTTGATCCCTTTTCACAGTAATAACAATTTTCATAGAATAATATATTTGTCAATCTGCTATCCTCAGTTCCTAAAATAGTGCTTAACATATTTGATATTACATTCTGCAATATTACACACACACATACACACACCATACAGAATGGTAAAATGCTCATTTATCATTTAGTTAGGAATATGCCTTTTCAAACCAAGAAGTTGCTACTGAAATTAGTTTGTAAATTTAAATTACCTGTATTTTTGGGAGTATAAGATGGACTGGAGTATAAGACGCACCATGGTTTTGAAGAGGCAGATAAAAAAAAAAGTTTTTGCACTCTGCAAACCACCCCAAAACGGCCCGTTTTTTGTGAAACCGGGCCCATTTTTTTTTCCAAAAAAAGGACATGAATAGCCCTTAGGAAGCTTGTAGAATGTTCCTGGGGAATGGGGGGAAACGAGCAAAAAAGGCCATTTTTTTGCAAAAATGGGCCCATTTTT